ATTATTATATTATTATTATTATTATTCCTAATTCTCCGTAACAAAGCATTATTATATTATTATTATTATTATTATTTTCTTTGGGAATTGGGGAAGGAGAGAATGGAGGGGGTGGAAGATATTGAAGCAGTATATACACAGGGATAGGCTTTATATTTTTGGAAAAAGAAATGCAAACAAGGGAGCCTTTGGAATGCTAAAAGGTCTACCAGGAGTTTTTCTTGTAATTTTAAATTCTGGATTCAAAGATTAAACAAAGTTTATAGAGATGAGTTCATGGTGTGCTGCTTTTAAGATTAGTTGAACCCCTCCTACATTATTGTCTTAAAGGAGAGATTATGTGAATTTAATAATTCCATAAATTAATTTAGCATGCCTTCTTGTCTCCAAGATCACTCTTCCTTTTCTTGCTCAAGTGGCCAACAAGTACACATGGATTGATAGCCCATTTCCCATGGTGGGACTAATGGCTGCCAATGAGGTCGACGCCATGCAAGAACCCCAGTTGAAACGTCCAGCTCATGTGCTGCCTTCCAGCAGTGGTCCATGGGATTCATACCCTTGTCTGCCTTGAACGTTCCATTGTGGGAAATTAATTGCTGCAATTTTATACTGTATGATGCGCTCTGGAGGTATTTAATTTGTTTTATTTGTAGGTCACTTTTGAGCATCCCATCAATCGGGCAATGTAGAGCCCTTATTAAGACATAATAAGCGCACATTATGATCAACTTGTAGGACATTTATCACTAGCCTCCAAGACAAAAACATTAGCCAAGGAATTGAACATAAATTAACAATATTATCACCTTAATTAATTTGTCAGTTAGTGAGTACTCCTTGGTTTAAATTCTCGATAGTCCAACCCCGTTAGCACTTATTTCTTTCATTAATGCCATATTTACTTTCAATTCTTTTAATAAATTAACGAACGTTTTATTTCTTAGTTAATTTCTTTCAATCAAATTCTAGATTTATTTTTAATTGTAAACTCATATTGTTTTTACTTAATGTTAACAAAACCAACCTTGCTAATGTATTTTTTAAAATCACTGCTCACCTTTGATTTTGGAAGTGACATGTTAATTATCATCAAACGTTCGAGTCATTTTATATTGTTAATTACACACATCTAATTCATTACTTGATTAATCACTAATCCAGAGCTGAAACACACTATTGAACAAATGATTAAAAACTTACTATACACATAGTTGAATTGAAAAAAAAATCACCAGAACTCTAATTACACTCATCGGATACATCAATATTATAGTCTAATGTACTCACTAATAAAACATATATATGATGTTCACAATTTAATCTAATAAAACATATATATGATGTTCACAATTCTACATGAATAAAAAAAAATATGATCTTCATTTTTTCAGTAGTATCAAGTACTCAACTCAGCTTCCTTCATAATTCCCTAAATGAATTTCAATGGGTTAGAGTTAAATATTGCACCTAAAACCACCACTGCCATATGAGCAGAAATCATAACTCGTGGGTCTTTTGTAATGCGGCTCAACTATTTTTTAATGTATTTTTGAAATTAATTTTTGCATGAAAAATACTAAATTAATATTTTTTTAAAATGATTTTTGATAGGCTTCAACTTAATTTCATGAAAAATACTAAATTAATATTTTTTTTAAATGATTTTTGATAAGCTTCAACTTAATGTGTCAATGTTATATATATATATATATATATATTTTAAATATATATATATATAACATTGAGACATTAAGTTGAAGCCTATCAAAAATCATTTAAAATATATATATATATATAATTAAGAAATATTTTATATCACACTAAAAAAAAAAACTGTAAAGTGACCAGCTAATGGCTAGAAAGGTTAATTATGAGGAGGGAAAACTGTAAAGTGACCAACTCATGGCTAGAAAGGTTAATTATGAGGAGGGAAGACAGTATAATTTTACTGTATAGTTCAAAAAGCTTTGCCGTGGCATACATACATTATGGTATTGTGCACAGTTGTTAAGCATTATTAACTCGGAAGTGGCTAAGATCATCTGATAAGCAATAAGTTGCAGAGAGATACTACAAATAATTCACTTCCTTCAATTACAGTAGAAGTTCTAAAAGAGTGCCTTAACATCAGAGGGGAGGGGTGGGGTGGGGTAGGGGTGTTAAGCTAGCTAGGGTGTCATTATTAGGGTTGGATGTGGGGCCTAAGTGCACATTTGGGAAAGGGCTACATGTTGGTGCCTATGTGTGACAGGAGAAAGTGACTGAAAGTGATTAATGATTATATATATATAAGATTAGTTAATGATAATAGTACAGTATTGCTCGACAAGCTGTGCTTAAACAAATCAGAGACTGTAAAGGGGAAGCCTTCTCTCTCTTTCTACTATATGCCCTTCACTTATAGGCAAGTGTTCTATTCCAGTGTCACTATCCCTTGTTTCTTTCATTCTTGGAATATATGCTTCTCTTCTTGTTCCTCCACGGTCTGATTATCTGTACTTAATCAGTGTTAAGAATCCCTTAATCACAATCCACCAATTAATGTTTTCCCTAATAACAATAGTTGTTTCCCTAATGGATCTGGTTTGAGTGATCTTGTGCCACCTACCTGTCGAAGCTCTCAAGCTTAACTTATTGAAAGATTGCAAAATAAAAAAAAATAAAAAACTATTGAAAATTGTTCATTTTCGATCCTCACTGATCATTTCCATGTCACGAAGTTAAAGTTCCATTGCTTACCATTAACTTGTAGCACTCGGTTTGGTCAGCTTTCCTGCTCAATGCATTTGGTCAGCAAGTTGTTGTTATATTCCAAATAATTAATTACATGTTGTACACCAAGATTAGACCTTATAATTTGATTGTACCCTCTTAATCTCAAAATGATCACGATAAATCTTTTTAAGAACCAAGAGAAGTCACGAGTACTCCAAGTTACATAAAAAATGCAATTCTCGAACCAAAGATGTCGCTAAGAAAAGAAGATTAGGCCCAAGTCACCGATTATGATGATGATTTTACCAGGAGCATTATTTCCTTATCTTTTGCTTTTTGAAAATACATGTCCTTGTTTCAGAACTATTTTATAGTTTTATGAACTCAATAAGAGAATCGATCGAACAACGGCCAATCATCTAGAATTAAACTATTTTATAGTTTTGTATGTCCTTGCAAGGAGTTGAGCGTCAAGCTAACCTTCTACTTAATTTGAACTTGATTGTAATTATCCAACATTTTGGCTTTAATCTCTTTCTTTGTGGGATTAGTATTCGGATGCAGATAAATACACGCATCACTAATTTGGTTCCTCTTTTCTATCATGTTTCTTTCTGATTTTTCTTATCTTATTTGTAATGCATACATTTTATTTTTTTATGAACATTTATTCAACTTTTTAGGTGTCATTTTATACGTGTTTATTTTTTTATTAATACACTTGATTATTATAAAAAAAAATAATATTATGTGTAATCCTTTTATTGGTCACCTGGGATCCGTCGATGTAAAAAGAAAAAAAAAATGATGGAATATAATCTTCCAATCTCCATCATCACCATCATATTTATAGGGTTTTAACCAATGATAGGCTAGGATTTTAGCTTGTAGAAGTGAGTATAATACATCATTAAAATAGCGCTTAATTAGTGCCTTGGAACAAGAACAAACTAGACAAATTAAGATGAAATATGGGGCTTGTACTTCATATTTTAAAAAGACAGAAGATATTCATTTCAAAACTATCTCAATTTATGCAACTAAACATATAAAATTTTTTAGTATTTATTATTTATGTTGTGAAATGCCAATTGAGCTTAGCCTAAACAACCGATTTTATTCTGCAACATTTGTACTGATCAATATCGTTTTCTAGCTTGATAGTTTTTTCCTGATAAAAATGTACTTACCTGATTGGCTAGAATATGTGTCAGAACTTCTATATGGGACTGGTTTTGTTTTGTTTTTGGGTAGATAGAAGCTAGATCAGCATGACCTGTTAAACTCAATCAATCCAACGAACATCTGTTATTGGATTCTGGTTCCAAGCATGTTCAGCTACCTTAACTAACTCGAACCCGACTCTATCTTGGTTCGTACAGGTAATTTGATTACTGCGTGAGGCATGCACATGCTATGATATTCCAACCTGAACATATATTAAGAAGTAGAAGTGTTCTTCACATGTTAGGAAGCTTCGCCTGGACCGCCGATGTTGGTGATTTTGTTTTGTTTCGGACTGAAAGTGTTGATTCTTGACTCTCATGTCATGCAGAGTTGGAAGATTAACTTTGATTCTCCACATGCATAAAAGCATTCATGGAATACAATACTCGATTTATTTTCAGTCTATATATAGAAATCAGATTGCAAAGGAGAATTGAAGTTCCAAGATCAATTATCATGAAGAAATTAAAATTCATGGGAAAATCTCAGTGTATGGGATTAATTAAAACACATGTAATCAATATATTATATAAGAGCTTAGCCTGAAATTATTGCAATTAAGATGCATGGTGTTGGCTAACTTGGTGTAAGACCGAAACTACCATGGGAAAGTGAAAATAATTTAGTGATTATATAAGAGTACTATCGCTAAAGGAAATGAGCATAATTAACTTCATTGTTGACTGTCTAGTCAGATCCTCTGTTTTTCCAGGTCACAGTATCTAATTTCACCTGGAAATTGTGCATAAGGACCACATTTAATGAAATTTAAGCTCCAATAGATCATCAAGCAAATAGAAATGGGTTTGGTTTATGCTAGCTATTTTGCCATATAATTAAAGGGTGTTTAAAGGAATCTCATTCGAGGGCATAAAAAATTTAAGATTGAAAGGTGGAATAGGGGTTTTTTTAAGGAAAAAAAATAATCATTTATGTAGCCCATTAAGGGAACCGGTCGTAGTTAATTATTGATTATTATATGATTCACCCCTTCCTCCTCGAGTGTTTATAAGCATATATGGTGGTAATGCTAGCACAAAGCTAAGACCTAGAAACACAAAAACATCAAAACCCACCTTTGCCTAAAATTATCAAGATGACAGGTTCTGGTTCACCTTGTGGAGCTTGCAAATTCTTGAGAAGAAAATGTGTGAGAGGTTGTGTTTTTGCACCTTATTTCTGCCATGAACAAGGAGCTCAACATTTTGCAGCAATCCACAAAGTTTTTGGTGCAAGCAATGTGTCAAAGTTGCTTGCTCACCTTCCTGTAAGTGATCGTAGTGAAGCCGCAGTCACAATCTCATATGAAGCTCAAGCCAGGCTTCAAGATCCCATTTATGGCTGTGTTTCTCACATTTTTGCTCTTCAACAACAGGTTTGGTACCCTTTGAACTTGTCGATGTTATTTTAATTGATTGTTGAAACCCTAATTAAATCCTTCTTTCCCATCATTTATTAAAATTTCTTCTCACTTTGCAGGTTGTCAATCTTCAGGCACAGCTGGCTTCTCTCAAGGAACAAGCAGCTCAAAGCTTTCTAAATGGCTCTGCCACCACAAACCCTAATGACAAGTACTATGGAAAACCTTCTTATCCACATGAACTGCAAAGCTGGTTCCACTCAGAAAATTCAAGCACAGTGCCGCAATTGAATCCAAATAACCTCACCAATAACATGCCATACTGTGAAAATGGGATCATGGATCCAAACTCCATGGGAAATTATGGAAATTCATCAAGTTCATTTGATAGCTTTGAAGAGGCATCTCATTCCATGTCATCCTTTGACATGCAAACAGACAACTTGCAATGGACTTATCAACATGCTGATGATCTTCAGTCAATGGCCTTTGGCTATACTCAACATTCATGAAGAGATTGGCCAAGGCGCAGGAGATTTATAATTGGTGAAGACAGATTATTGTCAATTTTGTTATTGCTGCTGCATACATTGAAATATGCACCTTTGTTGCTATAAACAAAAGCTAGCTAGGACCCTAGAATTGTTCATACAATCAGAAACCCTAAATCCTCCCTACTATCCTTTTCTTTATTCCAGTGCAATCTTGGATATTGGTATAATAATAGTGGGATTCTCTGAAAGAAGTTAAGAAATTCTGGTTTTATTTCTTGCTGATTTTCCTTGTTTATGGACCTAATGAAGACCTAGATTTCTGACCTAATAATGACAGTTTCCTAGTCTCCCTTTTTTACACTTTCCCTTGGTAAACCTAATCATATTCAGTGGAAAAAAAAGCTCCCATGTGATCTAAATTAATGAACATTTTCTCTTATAAAATGAAGAAAAAATAAGCAATAACTCATTGCAGTATATATTCATGATTTAGGCCTTCAATTAATACAAGACTGTCTGTGTTTCCAGGAGAATAGCATGGATAGTAGTCCGATACCTCCATAGTTGAAAACCTGGTCCTGTTCTCAAGAAATGGATAAGATGCTTGTAGAAGATTGGAATCTGAGCGTTGAACCTACATAGTTTAGCTCACATATAAACTATACAGAGCTTTCCGAGCATGACTCCAGTATTTCCTGAGGTTTGCTTGCTTTGCTAGTGTCTTTGATTATTACAGTATATGTTATTTTTATGTAAGCATTCTTTTAGGAGATTATGGAACATAAATGGCTGAAAGCCAGATGAAGAAAACTTGATCTTATCGAAACAAATTATGCGTTCATGCCTCGAATTCGGAGTGCCTCATTTTCATAAGCATAAATGATCCCGAGAAAATAAATTATTCCCTTCACCTTTCTTAGGTCATTGGGAGTAAGCCTACATGGTCTTCATACAGTCTCATTTTTCATGTTTTGTTTCCCAATGCTTGTTGATTCCTTGCCAAATGCATTTACATTAGGTATGAACACACACATTGTCCAAAAAGATAAGAATTTGCTATTAATATTAATTCGTACGTTCTTATGTCTCCTAACTACTCCTATCAGCATCTTTGCCCTCTTCAGTACCATTGTTAATTAACAATTTGAGCTCGATCTTCCAAATATGACCAATGATATTAGCCTTGTTAGATGTGATCCTCGGGATAGTTTCGAATAAAAAAGCTGCTCGTGCACCTTCGTTCTTTTAAAGATATCTATGCTAGCTTCTATAGGAACTTGCTTTTTGTTATATATGCTCGGTGCAATGACTACATTGAGTCTCTTCTTTTGAAAGCTGAAACCGATGATGTATGCGATTCCTTGTTACATACATTGGTTAATTTAGTATAAGAACTTGGTGTAACAAAGACTGAAAATTTGAGAATTGTATTGGCTAAATCCACATAACTGACACTTGTTTTCGTCACTGGCGGATGAATTTGATATTAGAACTTCGAATCCTTTTCAAGTGAATATATCATGGATTATAATATTGAATTTCAGGGTTGAGTTACTCTGCTTGCTAGACAAAGTTGAAAGAACTCCTACATTGATTTATCAGAATCTCATACATTGATTCATCTTGCTTCTTCATCATGGAAGATGAATGAAGTTTAAACTGGATATATATGTTGAGGAGCAGAACATTTCCATTCTCCATCCTTTGTCAAAGCATCTTGGTGGAACGACTTAAATTGTAATCAATGAGCGTAAAGCGCATACTTCATGAAACTATATATATATATGTATATATATATTATAACTAACGCACGCACGCACACATCTACAGTTGATGAAGCACTATTGGAGAATGAGCAATGTGTGATGATCCAAGTTTGGTGTTAAGCCTGAAACTAATCAATGAAATGCTTGATTTAGTGCTAGTTCTTTGAATGCTTAATCATCAGTATTTCTCCATTTCCCATACTGAATGGACATTATGACTTGTTCTTCCATTTCTCGTCAAAGTGGATATAAAATATATCTGAATATTGTATGCATATGATCATATAAACACTTTTATTTGTATGTACAAGTTTCTGATCCCTGGTTGTTATCCGGTAAGGGATTTAATTGCATTAGCTCGTGTATGCGATAAATTATTAGAATATGTGGGATCCTTCAACTTCTGCATCCAATAACGAGCACAAGATCAACATGGTAGAGAAAATTAAGGTCTTGACTTTAAGCCCATCCTTGGTGAGAAATGATCCCATACATTTGGTTCATATTTACTAGATTTTATTACAGATGTGATACAAGCTATCTATGTTGTCCGAATTCTTACAAATTGGGCTGGTTTAATAACAATTAAGAAATTAAATGGTTGTTCATAACTTAAAGGGCAGATCATTAATTCTCCAAAACCATGGTAATTAAGTGTTTGAAAAGTTAGGTTCATTATTTTTTTTTATATTTGAGTCAAGGGCATTAACATTGAAGATTCTTAGATTGATTTTTATTTTTTTGGGTTGTGAATTGAGAAGTTCCATGGCAAATTTTTATTTGAATTACTCTTTAATAGCAGTCAAGCGGTCAAGAAATGAATCGGGGTGGGAGGACTTTAATTCCTAGTTTGAGGATTACTCTCTTGCATTTCTAACTCACACACAAGTGTATGATTTCTAGTAGACTTTGTATTGGCAGGCTCTCCCTCATGATCTAGTTTCTGAAAATAGCTACTCGCCAATGGATAGCGTCCCGAAATGTGTCCAAGATATTTTTGAAGCCAATTTGCAACAGGCTCGGACTCTCGAAGGGCATACAGCCATTAAAGACGGTCGCTCTTCGGCCTAATAGCAATTCTTTTATTGCCTTTTTTTTTCTTATGTACTTTCGGGATCGGTTCAACTTTAAATACACATTTCAAAGTTAGTTAATTATTTTTAAAAAATTATAAAGATAAAGATTAATTTATAATTTAGACCAATAATTCGGGCCAACATAAATTACAAGCGATGATAATTTTGTGTCTTGACCAAAAAAAAAGGGAAAGAAAATGCAGATTCAACTTACATGAAAGGCCATTCTTCCATCCAAATCAATACGTCATTGACCCCACAATCAAACGGCTAAGTTTGAACTTTGGTGCAAATTCTCCCAGTCAACACTTTGGTACTCTTTCTTTATTTTTATTTATTTTTCTCCCCAACCATTTATTTGATCTTTCTGTTCCCCTTTGTCTTCTTTCTAGTTGTTTAATAATTTGTCTATTTCTTAGGAGCAAATTGAAACATCACGAACACTTGTCTGGCTGTCATGTGAATGAAAATTGCTTTACAACAAGCAAGTTGTACCATAAATTCCTTTTCATTTTCTTAGGGTAACACAATTTTATTTTTTTTGAATGGAGTAGATGCATGGTCCACTCCTCATACACTTCTGAAAATCTAGCCAGCTTGATAATTTTATGGTGCATTTTTTTTATTATTATCTTTTTAGAAGGCTAGGCCCTTGCACTAAACCATGGAGGATAATTATTTCCCTTATATATATATATATATATATATATGTTTAACACCATCAAAATCTTAATTTATCTCAAGTTGTTCAGGTCTACATGATAAGTGATTATTGACCAATTAAATTTAGCAAGAGCCCCCTTTCGAATTTCCCATATCAATACCATATCTTCTCTGCCTCTCAGACCTGTGAATCAAACAGAACACTTGACCCAAAATTTTGTCCACAGCTAGCGAATCCTTTAAATAATTTTGCACTATATATTTTGACAGAGACAAAAATAATGCTGGTAGGAACAAGTGTTTGTCACGGTTCCAACACCATTAGCATGCGCTCCTCCCCTTTAAGAAGAGACCATTGAAAAGAAGAGAGACCACATAGCTTCTTTTCTCTTTTGATCTCTTTAGTTAAATTCATTGGCTGTGTTTACTAAAGTCCAGTCCTTGTTTCTTGTCTTCTCTTTTTAGGTTCTCAGACAACGAACTTTCTCGAGACACATCTCTTCCGAGAGCCCACATTCTACCATTTAATATACATCTCATTAATTAATGGGATCGATGGATACCCTTTGGAATAATATGATTATCACTTTCTCAAGTGCAATTAATGGAGTCCAATAGAGGAATGTATAATAACAGATTCTACTTCTGTTCTCTCCTTTTTGTTTGTGTTCGATTGTCCAATTGTAAAGACTGGGTGTGAAAGTTGTTAGTCGATGCTTGACTTGAAATGGTTATAACTTATAATATACACTTCTATATATTATATATATATATATATACCTCATGGTCATGGGCTCGAAGAACCTGGGATTTTATTAATATTATCCAATGCCGCTTGACTGAGTAAGGTTATCGATTCTTTTTGAACACTTTGTTGCAGAGATGCAGAGGATAAGGATAGTTAAGTGCAACACTCGTTACCTTTTCTTCGTCGCTGGAACCCCAATTTTTGACCTGTACCCCCAATTCGGAGAAAAAAATAAATAAAGGGAGAGGGGTCATAAGAATTCTGGAAAATGTGAAAATAGGCCTTCAAGTACAGCAAAGTACCTTCAAGACAAGCAAGCATAACAAACGACCTTACAGAAAGGACATATGCGTCCCATGAAAGAAGGATTGGAGGTGATGGTCTTTCCAATCTTGCTAATGAAGTCTTTTCGAGTAAATTTAATTGGACCACTCGTCTCTTACAACCAATCTTGCTAATGAAAGAGGGTTCATTTCCCCTCTTTCGTTCTTATTCCTTGAAAAAAATTCTTTTTTAAATCCAATCCAGACAAATGATCAAGGTAAACTATTGAATCACCGGTTATTGGTTGAAACAATGGTTCGAGATATTGTATTATTATCTAAAATATTTTAGAATCCTAATAAACTCTTCTAGAAACTTTATATCTATTTATATTAAAAAAAATAATAAAAGATATATTTTTATAAACTTTAAAAGTAGAGTCCATGAAACATGCTAAATTAATTTATATTGTTTAAATGCAATGTTTTGAACGTGCTAACATATTAATGATTTCTTTAATATGCTTCAACGTGCTAACATATTAACATATTAATGATTTCTTTAATATGCTATGTTGTTATGTCTGAGTTTGATTTAAAATTTATCAAATATGCTAGCAAGGTTGATGCTTTTTTGTTTTTGCATGTTTTTAGGTTTTTGAGTTTTATTTAATACTGGTTGAAGGTTTAGGAAAACATTTTGAATCTAAATTGCATAAATATACAGGTTGTTTTAGGTTGATAGTTTTTAAGCTTGAAGTTTTTGCATGTTCGTGATGATTTATTATTTTTATTAGTTCTTTTTTATTTAAGTATTCTTAGTTATGATAATGTGGATTGTTGAAATCAAAAAAATCAAGTTTGGAGTCCAGCGTCGATGACATATTTTTATGAGTTTTAATCTTAAAGTTTTAGTTTTAAATTGAAACTTATTTTTCAGAAAACCATGATATTTGAGGAATAATCAAAGTGAACTAACACTTGATTCTTGATCTATGCTTCATAACGATTAGAAACCTTGCTTTTTATTTTTTGAAATTTAGTTTAGTTTGATGTTCATATTGTTGAGTTTAAGTTTGAGTATTCTTTGTATTCATACTTTTTCTATTTGATCTATTTTTCTTAAGAAATTTTTAATTTTTATGTTTTTACTTATGTGGAGTCTATTTTAAGTTTGAATCTTTATTTTGGTTTGTTTCTAGGTTAACTTGTTCGAATAAACCCTGATCGAGTTAGTCCATTCAGGTCAACCTAGTCAGTTCAAAATTGGGTCAGTCATTAGACCTTACTTGATTTGCTTTTTTGGTTAAGGTTTCTTTGGTTTAAGGATGTGTTTAGCAAAGACCTTTAAGGCTTGTTTTGAATAGTTTTATTTCAAGAAAAATTAAGTTTTCACCCAACATGGCCTTACAAAAATATAAAAAATTAATATAATAATAAAAAATATCTTTTTGCATATTACATATAGTCAAGTCTCTCAAAAATACAAAAAAATCATAACTTCCCCAAAATACATGTTGTGTGTTTAGTTAGTGTGCATGTGCGCATGCTCGCGCATTCATTTTAAATTTAATAATCAATTTATTAAATTTATGAAAACTTGGTTGATATTTTAATAACCCCATAAACCATTAATTCATGGAATTAATGGTCAATATTTTGGTATAAATATTAAACTTATAAATAAGATGGTATTTAAATATCAAGAGTTGATCATGAAATTCTCATAATTATTTTAAATATTTACAAATTTTAAATTGGGACTATTTTTTTATCGCAATATACAAATTAAGAGCCCATAATAGCAAGGTTGTCGGTTCCGTTTCATTCGGAATGACCGAAACATTTCATACCAATTCAAAAAAGAAACAAAATTAAACAATTTTCATCTCATTTCAAATCTCGGTCCGTTTCAGATCTTTTGGCTAAATTTCAGCAGAAATGTTCCAGTTTCATTCTACATGTTCCGTTTCAGTCTTAAAAAGTCATTGAATCAAATTGAACATGGTTCAATTTAATTAATTAAAGCATGCAAGTATAAAAGCTATTTTTCATTATTATTTTTAATAATAATGATATTAAAAATAATATTAAAATTTATTATTACTATTTTCATTAACAATGATACTAATTTTTTAAAATTAGATTTATCACTATATATAATTTATACTCATGTTGTTTTTTTCATGTTTATACTTTGTAGGAATTTGAGCAAAATAAGGGATGTTTTAAATTTTATTAGCCTTAATAACATTGACTTAGCTTTATATTTAAAATATTTATGTTCAAACATTTTAATTTCATAATATTTTGATATTTTATTTAAGTTGAATTACTTTAAGTTAAAGATCTATTTAATCTTGACTATTTAGAAATATTTTATAAGTTATAATTAATTTATCTTTAATTTGAATTATGTTTGTTGAATATATATATATAAACAGTACAACCCTGAAACGGCACGCCGAAACACTCTGAAACTGAAACATTCAATTCCAATTACAAAAACAAAACACCTACCAAAACAAAAATGACAACCTTGAATAATAGATTCAAATTATTAGATGTATTCAAAAAAATGACAACCTTGCATAATAGATTCAAATTATTAGATGTATTCATAAAAATAAATTCTTATCCTAAACCATATACAGGCTATCAAATAAAAACTAATCAAAATATTTAAATCATGTAATACAGTATATTTAAAATAAAATGTAATAGAGTAACTAATATTTTTTCTAACTATAATCAATCTTTTATCCTTAAAATCTCTAATAAAACTAATATATTTAAATTTTTTAATAGTCATGAATCAAATAACTGCGAAGGATTTCTTGATCATATGACAACTATTATAACACCATCATTATTGCCTTAAAACAAAAATACAAATACATTTTCAAGTTTGATGCATGGAATTCCTTCTCCTCCTCCTTCAGCACCATGATTTGAAGAGAAATTGACATTTATAAAACGCAAACTTTCTCTCCCATTAAAGGTCCTCTCTATCTCTCTGGACGACGGGGTCTGGGCACACAACACGATATCAATATTGAAGCTGCAACAAACAAGTTCGGCAATGTCGTCTTCCTTCACAATAGTAATTAAACACATCCACTCAATGTACATGAATTAACAATTCATTTCTTGTTTTTTGGACAATGGCTTCGTTAATTTAGTTCGTTTTTTAAATTGCTTTTCATTATTTAAAGATTTTAGAGAGCAAAACAACCCTCCATCTTCTTACTCGGTTAAACAAAACTTGTTAAAGCTAGCTACTTGATCATGGTGTAGCCCAATGCATTCAATCAAGGGAACACTTTGTCTACATATATGGATACAAGGTCATAGATTATACGGACTAAAATCACATAAGAGTATTTTTGTTAGGTAAACCTACTTATTACGACATATAAACCCGAGACAAGTAGGGCCATTAAAGGGTACTATCCACAAGGGTGCTTGCCTCTGCCCTTAACTACAATCATAGCATTCATCTCCTCTCTAATTACCAGATCCCCATTTCTTGCGATGAAATTTTCCTAAGTTATAATTGGAATTGATGAAAGGGCAGCCGGGGCCAATAATCTTGACAGAGAAGAAAGATAGATTAACCTTGGGATTCCAACTACAAATTAATCTAAGACTGTCATCTCTAGTTAACACCTATAATAGAGGTGGTATGGTATGTTTTTTTGGCAAAAGACAACAGAGGGTTCAAATTTGTATCTATATAAGCCTTATTTTATCCCCCAACTTGATAGGTGAAGAATATAGAATATTTTCTCCAAATTATAATATTCATTGCAAGTAAAAGTAAAGAAGAAGAAGAAAGTAAAACAATTGAAAGTTGAGAATCCCATTATTGTTGTTCAGTGAAAACTAAAATATTTTCAGAAAGTAAGTTAAACCACTCTAGCTAGCAATTAAATATTGGTAGTAGCTTATGAGAGGGATGGAGTTTCATTTTCAAGCTGTTACAACGTGATTTTGTGCTGATTGAACAGAAGGGAAATTAATGCCTCTATCAGGCTTTATGATGATCAAAACTGGAGTCTTTTTAGATGGGATCGATCTCAGTATATATACATGATTATCCATTTGATGAGCTAGCGCAGAAATTAAAGAAACATGATAATGTTCATGACGAATTCTGTTAATTAGTTCCTCATCATTCTTAGTGCCAGTGCTTGAAGCTCACCCAAGTCACTATTGTATGGTCTTTTGACCTTGGAACAGGATTGGAATGCAAATTCCTCTCCGCTTTTTATATCTTGCATATCCATCATCCCATGATCAATATTGCTGTTGTTAAGGTCAACCGAATCAAGTGAGCTTTGTGGAGAGATTGGATTGATGTAAGTTTGATAAGATGGAAATGATGACACCCCAGAAATGTTATTTCCTTGCCACTGATGATGCGTCTTCTCTATATTAATGCGTGTTGAATCGATTAGATTTTGTGCTAGTTGAGCCTTCACTTGCATCAACTGTGCTTGTAAGCATGCCACCTACAAAAGCAAAAACAGTTACCAAAAATTAGAACTTCCTTAACTTGTACACTAACACTATATCTGTAAAGATGAAACCTGCAGCTACATGATTTGAGGACCAAGGGCTCACAAGCAAGACCCTCTATCATCAACAGAGAAAAAAAAAACTTGGTGGGTTTCGGAAATAAAATTAATCCTCCCTTGCTAGCCTACGGAAAGAGTTGAACATAACCAAATAAAAAATCCTTAAAAACACAATATAATGCATTAGATTTCAGAGAAAATCATAAATCCTTTTGGAGATGAATAACCAGAATTCTAGAATCCCTTTTCCCAAAAAAAAAAACCAAAATACAGCCAAGGAAAATTTTGTACTGTATACCTATATGATCCATGGTATGCTTGAAAAATATGCTAAAAAAAAGAAAAACATATATATCTATATAAATTGTGAGTAAACAAGATACAAAGAATTCCACAAACCTGTTGCTGCAAGGAAAAAATATGTGCAACACATCCATAAACGGGGTCTCTGATCCTTGCTTGAGCTTCATAGGCAATAGTGACAACCGCCTCATAACGATCGGCAACCGGGACATGCAACAACAACTTGGAAACATTACTAGCACCAAAAACCTTATGAATGGCTGCAAACCTAGCAGTCCCTTGTTCAGAGCAAAAATAAGGTGCAAAGATACAATCGGAGGCACATTTCCTCCGGAGAAACTTGCATGCTCCACAAGGAGAACCAGTGCCAGTGCCAGTGCCAGTCACAGATGATGCCATGATGGGAGAAACAAAAGAAAGAAACAGAGAGAAGAAGAGAATCTTGAAATTTTTTTAAAGGCACACGAGCACACTAGGAAATGGTGCGAAAAAAACGAATGAGGCTAGTGTGTGTGTGGTATGGTTGGCTAGGGGATCAAGTGAGGTGGGGGCTTTAGGAGTAAGGGACATAAAGGATCTCTTATAAGAGTAAATGGGAGACATCGAAGCCCACCATGTAGGGTTTTGAGGGAGCATTTATCAATGGACTTATGCAATATGAGGCTTCTATTTTATTAACAAATATGAGGCTTCTATTTTATTAACAAAGACCAACTCAATTAACATGATTTATACACTAATACTGTCTTATGATTTGATTAATTAATATATTTAATATATAGTTTGCTTTTGAAATTTCTTACTGCTACTTTTTTAAGTTTGATTTTTGGGACGTTTGATTGCTAAGTTTTTATTTTTCCGCCGAACGCCGCACCTGGGAACTGATGTTTTTGTCGCTTTGTGGCTGTGGTGTTAAACCTCCACCTTCCGGTGATTGTTCACCGACAACTAATCTAATAATTTAAGACATCGTGAGTGATTAGTTAAGGACTAATGTGTGTTAAAGGGACGAATTCATGATTACTTGTATGAGTTTCTAAATCTTAAAATTATTTTAATTCAATGATAAGAGTTATCTCATACCAGTTTGTACATCAATTAAACTAAATTTTTATTCTAAACAATCTTGAATATGCATCCTCAAATCAATATAGTGTATTTAAAAAATTTAAATTAACTACAAGTAAATCAGGAATTTTACTCGGGGAATCAAACATTGGAGACATTATTATTTTTCAACTATCAGTTCAATGTCTTAAAAATAGTTATTTTAAGAGTTAAATATAAGCAATTGGATATTTAAGTTTAATTTACGTACAGATTAAGGATTATCTATGACCCCTTGGTTGCGTAGAGAAGCGAAGCTGACTTTTTGAGCCTATGGAAACCTGAGCTCTCATGTCGATCATGTCATGGGATTAGTGCTCGCCTGCCTAAAGTGTGTTCAGTTCTAGAAAAGCTAAGTGAAGTTGGGCGCCTTGCCCTCGTGCAAAGGCTTCGATTTTATTACAAGAGACAAAACACGAGGCAACTCTAAATGTCTTCGTTCAAGGATATTGTGGCTTGAATTATGAATTTTTTAGAAAGATAAAAAAAATATATATATATAGTTTAAATAGGAGATTTGAATGCAATGGCTGGTTTGGTAAAAATAAAATATAGTTTAAATAGGAGATTTGAATGCAATGGCTGGTTTGGCAGGTTTTTTTTATCAACAAAAATAATATTCTCAGAATAGTTTTCTTATCAATTGAACTTAAAAAATTTATTTCGAACTAATATGTTTAAAAAATTTAATTTCTTTAAATGTTACTTTTAATATTCAAACTCGTAAAATTATAAAATTAAGAGAGAGAGAGAGAGTACCAACCTCTTATGGTTGGCTTGGCCTCAATACCATGGTGGTCCATGATGTCATGTCACAATTGCTTGCAAGTCCAAAGATCCAAGAAATGGATTGTCTCGCTCTCAAAAGGAGAAGGAAAAAAGATATAGAGAGGGGGGGCTTTAATCGAGCTCCTTAAAAGTATTTGTTCGTGATTTTAAGTTTATTTAATGCATTGTCTTGGTGATATTTTGAGACTTGTTTTACCATTTCCATGGCGATCATTCTCGTATATAATTTAAGTGAAGCATGTTTTTTACAATGATTCACAGCTCAAGGTATTGAACAAGACGTAAGCTTGTTGTGGAGAGAACATGCGAAGCATGACTGCCCCTTGCATCAGCACATGTGAAGGAACTTCAACGCATGAAGGCGATCATTTAATAGATTTGCCCAGCGTAAAGGTAACACATAATCAGAACAACGAAACAGCTGTGGGGAGATAGAGTGAAGGTCATGGAAATGGTGCTAGGACCAGCCAGCCACGTCCCTCCTCTAAAACAACATAAATATTAAATAAAATAGTGTGGCAAAGGGACAGCTTAAAAAGCACGAAGGATTCGTCAACCTGGCAAAGGAAAATGGCACTTTGAATAGAAAAGTGCAAGCAAATATCATGTTTCTTACCTCAGCTTTAGCACTGCATCACATCTTTCCTCGCCAACCCGTTTCAGGCAGTTCGGGAATTGGCATGGCAAATCTTTCCAGCTTCTGGTCTCTCAACCATGACATAATCATCACTGATTTTGGAATCCCTTTGTAACATTATCCTTGCACATAGCACACATGCAAGCTTTTAAGGCTTAACCAACACACCGCCCTCCATTCTAACAGCAAAAACTTCCTCCCTCAATCGTGCATGCATGTTCATATTTACAAAGCTCTGAAATATGATTTTTTGAGATTATTAGCCAATATAGAATACCCTTCTGATTTGTAGACATACAGCCCCACCTTTTCTTCTATGTTTACAGAATAGATTGGTATATCTATCAACTACCTCCTCTGCTACATAAACGTGGCTGACACCACATTAAAGTGCAAGCTTCCAAATTTATAGTTCTGCTTCTCCTCCATGCTCATGTGACCAGTCGACTCTACGTTTGCACTAAAGCTTTTTCCTTAATCCAATCACTTGGTAGATGCCTTATAGACTGATCACAATCGCAGCAGCGGACCACAAATTTACATGCACCTTAAGTGCTAAGACTCGGACATACATGGTTGAGATGGCACCGGTCCTACTTCTGAAGTTTTTGCTATCTAAGAGTTGCAATCACAGTCCTAAATTTTAAACATGACTACATATAGTTTTGGCCCAGGCGCTCGGATGCTTGCATCCCAGCATGGCACCCCCAAAACCCTTCATACAATGAGGGGGAAACCCATGAATAGCAAAAGAGGGCAGCCCATAAAGCATTGGATACATCATACCAATTCCCATAATCTGTACACTAGTTATTATAATTAAACATTCAGACATGTTTTCACAATCCATGCACCATTTACACAAGCAAAATGCCAAGGTTGATAGATCTCCAGCAAACCCCAAAAAGAGATCTCATCACAGAACCCTTTTACGGTATCCAAAATGAATTTCATAGGCAATGTAGTGATTGTATCCTTGAAAGGCAAGACAACGTCCTCATCTTCTCTTGTGATGAAACCTCACCTTCAACAAGAACTGCATTTTAACCTGTCCAAGAAAACCACTATTTTAAGGACTGCTCCATATATGGGGCATGGAAAAGTACAATCATATGAAAATCATCAAGTAATCGTAAGAGATAATTCATCATATGAATTCTGCCTTGAGCATTACTTATTTCAATTACTTGGCAGAACCCAGATAACCACTCTGATACAGCAGCAAAAGACTTCGATTCGATCATTTTGATCAAGTTGTACAGTAGTCAAAATAAAGTTCCGAAAGTGGATCAAATCTTAGAATTTTAATCCATACCAAACTTCCACCAAAAAACTCTACTAATGAGATATATCATTTAATTAATGAGGTATTGAAAATTGAATTTAAATTTGAAATGGTAACAGCAACGCATCAGCAGGTTTTATTTCTACTTTGCCAGGCAGATAGAACTTACTTGAGCTGTATTATAAACAATGTACTCGTTGTACATCAGCTCAGAGGCCTTGACTTTCGAAGACACTGGTTTGCCACAAGGTACAATGACATCATTCCTCCACTTCACACATCCCGACTCCTCAGGTACCTTCTTGCCAAGCCCTTTAGTAGAGTGCTTTCCCTCCGGTGGTTTTTCCATATACTGTGATGAATAAACTTGTGGTTCTTATTCAGAAAAGAATGAAAGACAAATTCAAACAGAAGACTGAATGTGTCAGATTTCCACCCTACCAACATTTGAGAATATTGGGTGACTAAAGCAAGTTTCACTACTACAGAAAATCCAGTGAGGAAGCTGTCATTATGCAAACTAAATCAGAAATCTTACAGCAAGTGGAATAAGGGAAATTGTGCCCAACTTGCAGGCACAAGTTAGTATGTTTTGAGCAAGGACTTCATGCAACAAAGGTTAAGGCCAATTATCTCTAGAACCCCACATTCAAGCCCACAACAGGATAATGGCCTTGTTTTTTGGCATGTTGAATGGGTACATGCACACTGTTAGTTACCAACTCAAACCAAGCATGTGGACATGCACAGATACCCACACTAACAAACCATATACATCATGGGATGTGAACTCACCGTTGCCTTCTTCAGCTCATAGACCTCCCCTAGGGCAACTTCACTGAGAAGCATCAGTCCCACTGGATTTTTCTTATCCGTAAAGCAATACTGAGCACTCTTACTGACCAGGTCAGCAAAGTAAACCCCTTTACCAAACTGTAACACAAAGTGTTCAATCATCAGCCTTGTAGAAGGGAGGAGGATACAATAGGCATGCGAGTGAAAATCACAAATGATAATCCAAGGCCTATGAACCCAAATATGTGTAAGTGTTCACATAATGCACACAATGAAAAACAAAGAGGGAGAAAGAGAACCATATAGCCAGTTGTTGGTGCTTCAGGAGGAGCTATTCTAAGTCCTTGGCTAAGTATTCCCACGAAGTTCGTCAATCGAGAACCTGTAGAGGAGCAGCTTTTTGGTTTCACTTACATATATGATTCTGTAATCATGTTGCTGAAGCTCCAGGTATCCATGAGCCTTGACCAAAAGCAGTTTGTACGTAGATATAATTGATTAAGAGATACTCACCATGCCATAGCAGCATTCTGTTCTTAAGCGTTTCTCTATAAGGGGCAAATCTATCAAATTCTCCTCTTCGCTCCAGCAAAAATACTTCTTCCAGTTCAAGACTCCAATCCTGATAATAACATCAAACACCAGTGATTACTTTGTTAGGATGGCGGGGAAGAAAGGAAAAAATAAGGAATAATAACTCATCACCAGCAGAGCCAGTGCTGAGGGCTTGAACTATAAAGAAGGTTAACCCACCGTATGAGTTGGTGCATGAGTTGTAATGAGATACTTCTCAATCAACTGATAGTCCTCACTGTCATGGGGAAGCGGACATATATCACAATGGAGCTTCTTATACTTGTCATCAAGGGAATCATCGCTATCCACATCAAAGCCAACTAATCTTGAAGCTATCTCAATATCCTGAAGAGCTTCTAACATTTTCACCTACAGTAGAAACAAAATAGTGAACTACATTATTCCTCATACTGGCATGGTACATGAG